ATCTTTCTTTTTTGAAAAAAGGAGGAGTTGAAATCTTTTTTTTTATTGGCAAAAAATCGCCATTCTTTATTTAGGGGTTGGGACTAAATATTGTCAATAAAAAAATTTAATTTTTTCTCCATTTTGAATTTTTGACGCAACAAATAGAAATCTTTCATTTTTGAAAAAAGGAGGAGTTGAAATCTTTTTTTTTTATTGGCAAAAAATCGCCATTCTTTATTTGGGGGTTGGGACCAAATTTTGTCAATTAAAAAATTTAATTTTTTCTCCATTTTGAATTTTTGAGGCAACAAATAGAAATCTTTCTTTTTTGCAAAAAGGAGGAGTTGAAATCTTTTTTTTTTATTGGCAAAAAATCGCCATTCTTTATTTGGGGGTTGGGACCAAATTTTGTCAATTAAAAAATTTAATTTTTTCTCCATTTTGAATTTTTGAGGCAACAAATAGAAATCTTTCTTTTTTGAAAAAAGGAGGAGTTGAAATCTTTTTTTTTATTGGCAAGAAAAACTCCATTCTTTATTTGGGGGATGCGACTAAATATTGTCAATTTAAAAAATTTAATTTTTTCTCCATTTTGAATTTTTGACGCAACAAATAGAAATCTTTCATTTTTGAAAAAAGGAGGAGTTGAAATCTTTTTTTTTATTGGCAAAAAATCGCCATTCTTTATTTAGGGGTTGGGACTAAATATTGTCAATAAAAAAATTTAATTTTTTCTCCATTTTGAATTTTTGACGCAACAAATAGAAATCTTTCATTTTTGAAAAAAGGAGGAGTTGAAATCTTTTTTTTTATTGGCAAAAAATCGCCATTCTTTATTTAGGGGTTGGGACTAAATATTGTCAATAAAAAAATTTAATTTTTTCTCCATTTTGAATTTTGACGCAACAAATAGAAATCTTTCTTTTTTGAAAAAAGGAGGAGTTGAAATCTTTTTTTTTATTGGCAAAAAAAACTCCATTCTTTATTTGGGGGATGCGACTAAATATTGTCAATTTAAAAAATTTAATTTTTTCTCCATTTTGAATTTTTGAGGCAACAAATAGAAATCTTTCTTTTTTGCAAAAAGGAGGAGTTGAAATCTTTTTTTTTTATTGGCAAAAAATCGCCATTCTTTATTTGGGGGTTGGGACCAAATTTTGTCAATTAAAAAATTTAATTTTTTCTCCATTTTGAATTTTTGAGGCAACAAATAGAAATCTTTCTTTTTTGAAAAAAGGAGGAGTTGAAATCTTTTTTTTTATTGGCAAAAAAAACTCCATTCTTTATTTGGGGGATGCGACTAAATATTGTCAATTTAAAAAATTTAATTTTTTCTCCATTTTGAATTTTTGAGGCAACAAATAGAAATCTTTCTTTTTTGAAAAAAGGAGAAGTTGAAATCTTTTTTTTTTATTGGCAAAAAATCGCCATTCTTTATTTAGGGGTTGGGACTAAATATTGTCAATAAAAAAATTTAATTTTTTCTCCATTTTGAATTTTTGACGCAACAAATAGAAATCTTTCATTTTTGAAAAAAGGAGGAGTTGAAATCTTTTTTTTTATTGGCAAAAAATCGCCATTCTTTATTTAGGGGTTGGGACTAAATATTGTCAATAAAAAAATTTAATTTTTTCTCCATTTTGAATTTTGACGCAACAAATAGAAATCTTTCTTTTTTGAAAAAAGGAGGAGTTGAAATCTTTTTTTTTATTGGCAAAAAAAACTCCATTCTTTATTTGGGGGATGCGACTAAATATTGTCAATTTAAAAAATTTAATTTTTTCTCCATTTTGAATTTTTGAGGCAACAAATAGAAATCTTTCTTTTTTGAAAAAAGGAGAAGTTGAAATCTTTTTTTTTTATTGGCAAAAAATCGCCATTCTTTATTTGGGGGTTGGGACCAAATTTTGTCAATTAAAAAATTTAATTTTTTCTCCATTTTGAATTTTTGAGGCAACAAATAGAAATCTTTCTTTTTTGAAAAAAGGAGGAGTTGAAATCTTTTTTTTTATTGGCAAAAAAAACTCCATTCTTTATTTGGGGGATGCGACTAAATATTGTCAATTTAAAAAATTTAATTTTTTCTCCATTTTGAATTTTTGACGCAACAAATAGAAATCTTTCATTTTTGAAAAAAGGAGGAGTTGAAATCTTTTTTTTTATTGGCAAAAAATCGCCATTCTTTATTTAGGGGTTGGGACTAAATATTGTCAATAAAAAAATTTAATTTTTTCTCCATTTTGAATTTTTGACGCAACAAATAGAAATCTTTCATTTTTGAAAAAAGGAGGAGTTGAAATCTTTTTTTTTATTGGCAAAAAATCGCCATTCTTTATTTAGGGGTTGGGACTAAATATTGTCAATAAAAAAATTTAATTTTTTCTCCATTTTGAATTTTGACGCAACAAATAGAAATCTTTCTTTTTTGAAAAAAGGAGGAGTTGAAATCTTTTTTTTTATTGGCAAAAAAAACTCCATTCTTTATTTGGGGGATGCGACTAAATATTGTCAATTTAAAAAATTTAATTTTTTCTCCATTTTGAATTTTTGAGGCAACAAATAGAAATCTTTCTTTTTTGCAAAAAGGAGGAGTTGAAATCTTTTTTTTTTATTGGCAAAAAATCGCCATTCTTTATTTGGGGGTTGGGACTAAATATTGTCAATTTAAAAAATTTAATTTTTTCTCCATTTTGAATTTTTGAGGCAACAAATAGAAATCTTTCTTTTTTGCAAAAAGGAGGAGTTGAAATCTTTTTTTTTTTTTGGCAAAAAATCGCCATTCTTTATTTGGGGGTTGGGACCAAATTTTGTCAATTAAAAAATTTAATTTTTTCTCCATTTTGAATTTTTGAGGCAACAAATAGAAATCTTTCTTTTTTGAAAAAAGGAGGAGTTGAAATCTTTTTTTTTATTGGCAAGAAAAACTCCATTCTTTATTTGGGGGATGCGACTAAATATTGTCAATTTAAAAAATTTAATTTTTTCTCCATTTTGAATTTTTGACGCAACAAATAGAAATCTTTCATTTTTGAAAAAAGGAGGAGTTGAAATCTTTTTTTTTATTGGCAAAAAATCGCCATTCTTTATTTAGGGGTTGGGACTAAATATTGTCAATAAAAAAATTTAATTTTTTCTCCATTTTGAATTTTTGACGCAACAAATAGAAATCTTTCATTTTTGAAAAAAGGAGGAGTTGAAATCTTTTTTTTTATTGGCAAAAAATCGCCATTCTTTATTTAGGGGTTGGGACTAAATATTGTCAATAAAAAAATTTAATTTTTTCTCCATTTTGAATTTTGACGCAACACATAGAAATCTTTCTTTTTTGAAAAAAGGAGGAGTTGAAATCTTTTTTTTTATTGGCAAAAAAAACTCCATTCTTTATTTGGGGGATGCGACTAAATATTGTCAATTTAAAAAATTTAATTTTTTCTCCATTTTGAATTTTTGAGGCAACAAATAGAAATCTTTCTTTTTTGCAAAAAGGAGGAGTTGAAATCTTTTTTTTTTATTGGCAAAAAATCGCCATTCTTTATTTGGGGGTTGGGACCAAATTTTGTCAATTAAAAAATTTAATTTTTTCTCCATTTTGAATTTTTGAGGCAACAAATAGAAATCTTTCTTTTTTGAAAAAAGGAGGAGTTGAAATCTTTTTTTTTATTGGCAAGAAAAACTCCATTCTTTATTTGGGGGATGCGACTAAATATTGTCAATTTAAAAAATTTAATTTTTTCTCCATTTTGAATTTTTGAGGCAACAAATAGAAATCTTTCTTTTTTGAAAAAAGGAGAAGTTGAAATCTTTTTTTTTATTGGCAAAAAAAACTCCATTCTTTATTTGGGGGATGCGACTAAATATTGTCAATAAAAAAATTTAATTTTTTCTCCATTTTGAATTTTTGACGCAACAAATAGAAATCTTTCTTTTTTGAAAAAAGGAGGAGTTGAAATCTTTTTTTTTATTGGCAAAAAAAACTCCATTCTTTATTTGGGGGTTGGGACCAAATTTTGTATATTTATATGGCAAATTACTAGAGAAAGACTATTGCTTCGTTACTCTCACTCTAGTTATTTGTCATAGAAATCTGCACACACAAGATTTGCAGACTGAGCTATGAACGCTCCCTAATGTTTGTCCCTATCATAAGTCAAATGATCCTTGAAAACGTGTTGATGTCTGATATATTAATAGTGTAGTTATTAATAATGTTTTATTACCAAATAAAATTACAAGATAAAATTTTAAATTTAACATTTTCTTAATATTTACCATGTGAAATACTCTTTTACAAAATTTTATTTATATTTAATACAAAGAAACGTCAAATAAATGAACAATTTTATTGAATTTAAACACTTTATTGAAAATTTTTGAAGTTTGTACTTTGTTATAGATTAAGAAAATGTTTTCTCTTGCATCTCTTGTAATCCCATTATGTAATCAGAAATTCATTGAGAATTTCATGATTCCCTGAAAGTAAAATAAAATTCCATGATATCCAGGTATTCTATGGCTTGTAAAAACTCTGGTTAACTTTGTAAAAGTTTTCTTACAAGACTTGCAAACCACAACTACTAACTCCATGAAATCTATAAAATAAAGAGAATTTATTTAAAAATTTACATACATGACAATTATTAAAAGGTCATCTTTAAAAAATGAAGATTACTAATTGAGATAATTTTTTAATTAGTCGTATTCTACTTTTACTTTAGTTTACTGTATATAATCAAATAAAAAAGAAATATTTTGTTCATTTTTTTATTTAGGAGACTGCTTAAAATATGTATAAATTGCCGTGCAAAATAAAAACTAAGTTAAGCCATATTTTTCACAGGAATGACTTCAGAATTAAAAATAACTATTAATTTACCAAGAAAGTGTAGTTAGAATATAGAATTATTTATATTACATTAGATTATTAAATACAAACAATTTTTCGTCATTTTTTGCTATTGAACAAATTATGAATTAAGTAAGTTTTTATTTCGTACGGCAGTATATATATTACTTACAAGTTAGTGTAGATTGCCAAGAGCTTTTTTCAATATGATGAATTGACGATTATTCCAGCGGTGTGCATGGAATACTTCCACTGACAACAAATTGTCAATCGACAAGCACACGTAATTTACATCAATTTCAATTTCATATGCCATTAGTAGCACATTGTGCAAAATAGTTCTTACTGTGCAACATACGAAAATTGGATCATCATCCCTCCAAACAATAGAGTGTAAAGCTACAAACTCGGGCATATTACAGTCACTATAACGTGTAGCTAAAAAGCACTTCAAAGAAACGTATTTTATGCCATTTACTTTTATCCAGTTAGCTAATTGGAGACGTCTAGCATTTGGAAATAATTCATTAAATGGTAGCAAATCGATAGGAACCCACTTTGTTGGACCTTTTGTTATCTCTCGCTCTAATGTTCCAGTTAAAACGTATGCCTGATGTAATTGATGCTTTTTAGCTAGAGTCAGTGGTAGATTTTTATAATTCCGCATACATTGTGTAATTCGTTTAAAAAATTGATGTTTTGCTTCACATCTCATGGTTGAATATTGTTCTAAAGGTCCAAATCTCATGATCGCTCTTATTCTATGTAATAAAAAATGCTGCTTTGGAGTCAAATGCCTTTGATAAGTCGCCTGGAATGTCTCAAGGTATTCAGATATACAGCTGTCTAAGTAACCTAAGATTGAAGATTCGATTTTATCTGCGTGAGATATCAAGATAATTTCCAACATTTTCAAATAGTTTTCCAACGGAGGCCAGCCTGCAACAACTTTATTCGAAATAATTAAAGGCAGCATTGTCACCAGTTGTGCCATTTGTGAGGCTGTCTGCTTTAAGCCTTTCATTGGATCTTGTAAACGACTTTCTGTGATGGGTGACGGTTTTGAAGATTTTTCTGTATAGCCATAATCAAACTCAGCTATTCTTTGGTTGAGTTCTTCAATCGTCATTAAATTCAACGTTAGACAAAGCTCTTTTAAAAACAACTTCGTTGTTATTACGCAAATTCCCAACCAATCGTCATGAGTCAAATCCGGGGGTGTCACTGTTGGATCAAAACTTTCAATTTCGGTGAGCACGGTTATTCGGTTAATACCATATCGTGTTCTCAAAGCAGCTTTGCTTCGTTCATCAATGGCATCTTCAATTTCTTGAACTTGTCTTGCGTGCTCCTCCTGTGAACGAATTAAGCTAGCATCTTCTGTGCACATAATTTTAATTTGATCCATTGTAGCATTACATACACGGCAAGGGTGAAGAGCACTGAAAGAATCTCGGAAACCGCATAATTTTTGTATACCAAGATTATCACCAAGTATCGTTGACAATGTCCCATAAATTACCTCACCGTCTGCCAAGGCAAGGCCATCTTCAAGTTTTTTAAAGTCGTTGACCAGATGTTGAAGAATCATGTTCATTCCATAAATGTTTACATTTGGATTCGACACAATACCACATAAATTTATAAATTTTAATTGTGACCTATGTGCAGGCGATACATTATCATGCATCCAATAAAACATTCCTAGTTTTTGTACAGACGATGATTTGGAGCCGACAGCGTCACACATGTCTACTTCGTCGTAATATAGTTTTATGAATGTACTATTTGGCCTTCGGTTCGTATAGGAATGATTGTGGAAGTAAGTCCCATCCAAATAAGTTTCAAAATCTCCGTCCTCATTTCTACTTGGTTGAAATAGAACATTTCGAAATGAACGATTCTCAAACCATTTTTTAAGCACCTCAGGAATGGGAACGTGAATAAATTCATCTTTCTTTATGATCACAGGTTGATTTCCGTCTATCGTTGAGGAACAAAATTTTCACCCAACTGAATTCTGTTAGGCATCACAACATTGAAATTTTCTTGAAAATACACATCTTGATTGTGAATGCTATTAAGGCCTTGAGTGCAATCAATATTATTGATTATTACTTGAATATCAATATAATTATCCAATTGCAAATTGTATCCATCCTGTAGTGTGTGCCTTACATCATTTAGAGAGCGAGCGACATACGATCGCACCACATTTTGCATTTTCCCTAAAATGTTGATGACATCTTGATTTGTAGCACGAGTACTGCTTCTTAAGTATAGAAGATATTCTCCTATAATTCGCTTTTGTGGATTATCTGGGACATCATCAGCTTCATCCTCGGTGTCATTATCAGAGCTGAAATTTTCATTGTCCGACGGATCGTTAACAGGATCCAGCTCAAAAATTAGATTTTCGTCCATCACTATAAAAAATAATTTAAAAAATAAAAAATTGTGTTTAATTCATAAATATTTTTTCTCCCCCATAAACAATTCTTTCAGATATTTATTTAAAATTTTTTTAAAATTATTCAGGATAATTTCTATAAAAAATTATAAGTACATTTGATTTTCTTTTCAAAAATTGAAAAAAACACATAATTTAGCTCAAGTATGTAAAGAAAATATGAATTACTTCAGAAATTACATTAATTTAAAAAAAACTTTGTAAATTCAACTATTAATGCGATATTTTTTCAATATGTTGTTTTTAAACAGTGAATTTCAAATTGCTACATAAAGAAATTACTTGAAGCAGAATTTTTTAAATTTTGGAAAAAGTTTATCAAAAAGTGGGCTAATGTTTTCAAAAAATCCTACTTATCTCTTATTTCAAATATGGATTTAATTTAATTTAAAAAAAAATAATTAAGAAAGAAATTTGTTGTTAAAAATTTATCTAATTTTGGAAAAAAGGTATCAAAAACTAAATGGATATTTTACAAAAATGTGTATGCTTTAATTAGGTAGTCTTACTTCATATGTGGTGAATGTTCTAAGCGTACAAAATTAAATAATTTGTCAAAAAGTTTATAAAATGATTTGGTGAAAGAATATGTATTATATTTAAGATTAAAATAAGTTCATGTGATTAATTTTTGGAACATTGAAATTAGATACCAAAAAAAGCTTCTTTATGAAGAAGCAAAAATTAAAAATAAACAAACAATAGAATTTATTTAAAAACTATCTTCTTTCAATTACTTTAATTCCAATTTCCTAATGTAATATTATATATAATATGTTTAAATGGAATTTAAAAAAATTATTTTTGACATTTTTTAAGATTACAATTTGCCTTTAAACGAAGAATGAAAATTTCTAATATTAAGATACCGTTCCAATAACATACTTAAAAAATTGTATTGTTTTTTAATATTATTTTGTAGTCTTTATACAATATTAACTGTAAATTATTTAAAGAAACAAAAATAAAATTGTTTATTCAAATGTATTGTGCGAAGTATATTTAAAATGTAGTATTTTAGGTTATGTTATGACATAGTACATAAAACATTTTTTACTAAAAGAAAAATGTTTCAATTTTTTAATTTAACTTCTTTTATTAAGTTTATACGCATTATAAATCTATAACAATAATAGATAATAAAAAATCTTTCAAATAATTTTTTTAATATTATGCGTATAATGTGGATTTGTGTTCTTAAAATAAATGATATATCAATTTGAATAAAATTACGTACCCTTAAATGCAATTTAAATATAGTCCGTATATATTAATCTCACAAAAAAAGTTTTTTTCAAACACTTCTGCAAATAATAGTTATTTAATAAAAACACATTAAAATTTCGAAAAACAAATAAAAAAATGCACTGATTGTAAGAAACAACAATGACTCCTTCCCATCAGATGAATTCTTATTGGTTATTATAAAGCCATTTAATTCAAATTAGGTAACAGTGACGATATATATTATTTAATATGTTGATTGGCTATTAAAAATCGTCACAACGTCACCTTTGCCCCGTTACCCCTATACCGGAGGGTATAAAAGCCTGGAAATTCTCCTCCAGAACCGATACATTATTCTGCGACAGTTTCCTTCAAACAGTTGTCTGTATTTCGGTTTGCTGTTCTTTAATATTTGTCCCATCAGTAATAGATTCGTTTACTTATTCCGAAAACGGCTTCGGGCCTAATTGTCAAAATTAACAATTATATGTCATGGTCCATGCGAACCATTGTACTCGGTATAATTCATTTCGGATTCTCATGTAAAATCTGTTCAAAGATCGGCATTCGAATGTTTTTACTTTCGATAAAAAGATAACCAAAATCTCGTATCCGTATTGACTTCCAACCAATTCTAAATATTGTTAAAATATCTAAACACATAAATTATTCAACCATACTACGTATACATTCCTTCGAGGTAAGCACATAAATAAGTTGAAAGTAATACTTGGTTGTAATACTTTATTATACTTATAATTTAACTTGATTTTATATTTAAGTTCTTATTATAATAAACTAATATTCTCTTGCATATCTTTATATTTTATTTTCTCTTAACCTTTAATACTCTTTTCTGTCAAATAAGTAAGAACAATTTCATAACGGTCCCCATAGAGCTGAGGCATGAAACATTTCTACAAATAAATAAAAATAAAGCACGAATATTGCATTCGTGTGAAATATTTGCTAACGACTTCCGAAGTATAAGTATCCTTTTGACTAAGCTTACGTTCAAAATTAAATATAAAGGTAAAAAAAGGTGTCACTTCCCCTTAATTTATCACGGGTTTTTCGAGTTTTCAATTTTAAAAGCAATCCAAAAGTATTTAATTAAAAGGGGGAAAAGGAAATTAAAAATGAGCACTAAATTATGTTTAATAATGTTTTAAAAATTTTAGATTGCTTTTGAAATTGAAAAATCGATAAATCCGTGTCGATAAGGTAGAAAACCATATTTTCTGAATTGCATGATAAAATTAGCAACAGTACACTGTTTTCACAATGTTTTTAATGCAGAGGTTAGAATTGATGAGAATAATTGTTTTTTGTTTAAATTTTTGTTTCTTTAATAATTAATCATTCATTTTTGTTTCTAAGTTAATTTTCCATTGTTTCTGCATCCATTTAATTGCTTTTTCTTGATTAAATGCCCTACAAAATTCGTCCCTTTCAGTGCGTTTACAAGCTTCAGATCATTTCGGATATCGAAAATTGCTCGTATCCGAGATTCTCACTAATTTGTTTACCAGCTATTGAGCTCGTAACCGGTATCCGCATTTCTGGTATCTTTCATTTTCTACTGGGTGTTTACAAGAAGAAGTTCTTATCAAAGAAATTCCAGAAGAGAAAAACTTACCTTAACATTCACATCGATTGAGAAAGATTTCTCCATTCTTCGTCGGTATTCTTCTTGGAACAAATTGTGTCAAATTGTTGCGTACTGTCAAAATTTTTTTATCAATATAAAAAGAAGGAAAAAGTAATTAACACTTTTGCAGAAGGCGCAAATCTCTTTGTTGGAACTACATGAAGAGGAGGAATTTGCCGGGAAATTGCTAGATTTTCGTAGATAAAAAAAGGATAAAAGCTAATAGTAGACTTTTGAGTCTCGACCCTTTCTTGGATGAAATTGGTCGCACAGCGATTTCCTATAATCCTATCTCCTTAACACGTAATCAAGCATTTGTTCATACAGGCATAGATTCACAGTTTTCCTAAAAGTATCAAATTGAGACCAAAAATTGCATCAAATCTTTGCAACGTTTTGATGCACATAAGTTATATCAAAAAGAGATCGTTTTGTGTATCATTTTTAGAAATGATACACGAAACGGTCTCATTTTTTGATGCAAAAAATTTAATCAATTTATATCAATCATGGCCGAATTGAATCGACTCAAAATTAAACGAATTTTTTTCAGATATTTTGGTAATAGTACAATTGCGGAGACCATTTCACTATTTAATTTGAAAATGAAAATAACAGAAAATCAAAGACAATGTGCAATTCGATAATTAAAAAGTGACAGCTTATAAACATAACCTAAAATGCATGAGAAAAAATTTCTCGATAAAATCAATATAGCCGAGCTTTTTAGAAGGTAGATGGCAGCACTCATCTATTTTCTTTCTTTAAATTTTTTCTGAATCGTTTTTATAAAAAGCAAAACTGCCATCTACCTTCTAAAAAGCTCGGCTATGTTGATTTTATCGACAAATTTTTTCTCATGCATTTTAGGTTATGTTTATAAGCTGTCACTTTTTAATTATCGAATTGCACATTGTCTTTGATTTTCTGTTATTTTCATTTTCAAATTAAATAGTGAAATGGTCTCCGCAATTGTACTATTACCAAAATATCTGAAAAAAATTCGTTTAATTTTGAGTCGATTCAATTCGGCCATGATTGATATAAATTGATTAAATTTTTTGCATCAAAAAATGAGACCGTTTCGTGTATCATTTCTAAAAATGATACACAAAACGATCTCTTTTTGATATAACTTATGTGTATCAAAACGTTGCAACAGAAAAAGATACAACCAAGTTTACTGTGTTATGCGGGTCCGGTAGAATTCAAATTTCGAGAAATGTGTCGGGAAAGGTATATTTATGTTTATTTGTTTGCTTGGCTGTAAATGCTGTACATGTGGAGTTAGTTTCGGATCTATTTTTGCACTAACACCGGTCCATTTTTTGATTGGCACGTCATTAAATTTAATTTTAGAAAATAATCATCTTCACCTTTCTTTAAATCGCTTATCGCATTT